ATAATTAACTTACTTATAATTAACTCCGAATTGAACTCTTTTTTTTTTTTAAACTAAAATCTACGATAAATTTTATAATTAACTCCGAATTGAACTCTTTTTTTTTTTTAAACTAAAATCTACGATAAATTTTGAAGAACTAAAATCTACGATAAATTTTGAAGACATATACATAAATACATATTATACGTACATAATATGTTTTGATTCTTTTCATCGTAGAAAAACTTTTGTGCGATGAAGAGAGGGGAACAAAAGTTAACTTGTTAGACATTACTTACGTAGGGTTATCAGGGCAGGGTAAAACAGTGCTTACCAGGCCTACGCGTTAGACAAGCCATTGGTTTTTTATCAGATCTCAGATTTTTGTTTAAGGGCATTTGTCATCTATAATCACAACCTATCTATATTATAGTTCGTGTCTGTAATCAATATTGTAATCTACCGGCGTATATGCGGCGTATGTAGCTGACATAGATAAAAAAGATATAAGATAACTTAAATAAACTTTAAAAAGTAAATAAAATAATTTATCTAGTTATCGTTATGTTAGTAATAAAGTTTTAACTGTTTTAGGAAAAATAGTAACTAATAAGTATTAATTAGGTAGTAATAAATAATAAGTAGGTATACAATGCTATGTAACTAATATAATTGAATGAACCTAATATTGAGACTATTTACTTTTCCGGATCTTTTATTTTCTTTGATACTATTCTTCAAATTTATTAATTTAAATAAACATTGTACTCCTTTATCAGACAGAAATATGGCTGTCAAGGAAATTGATGGCAGTAAATTAGAAGGTGTAAGTAGTTATAATACAATTTAAAAAATCCAAGAATACCTACCAAGATATTATATTGATAATATTTTATTAGGGTGGTCAAGTTATACGATTATCGGTAGCCTTGTCATGTCTTTTGGAGCAACCAATACAAATTATTAAGATAAGAGCAGGGCGGTCTAATCCTGGATTAAAACCTCAACATATAGCAGGTTATTTTTATTTATTTAATTTTTGAAAATTAACTACAACTTTGTAAACTATATCTTTAGTAATTAAAACTGCATATAAATGTTCGAGACAACAGACAATTCCGAAAACTATACACAAATTTGTCTTCAAAAAATGTATGAGTGAGCTTTGTACCTAGTTTATTATTATAAAACTAATAAATCCATACTTCTACTCCTTTCATCCTAACTTTTTGGAGGCTGACCACCTTTGTCTTAACTTCCACTTGGGCTGATCCCCCACATCGTCCTTGCATACACCCACAACCCTCATATCATTCTCAATTGCATCCAACCATTCCCAGCCTTATTACTCTCCTTAAAACCATATCCTCCATGTACCCTCTCGTATCCTGTCCTCTTACTACTGATGTTCCATTCATATCACCAAAAACCACACCATCCTTGTTTCCTGGTGTTTCTTGCATTACTTCATGTATATCTTGTGAAAACTCTTATCTCACTCTTTACACCCTCCTCGTGGAGCTCCTATGCTTATTACATTCAATAATTTTTGTCCAGTATCTGCTTCACCACTATTATTCTCACAGTATTACTTGTATTAATTCCATCTAATTGTATTATTTTATTACCCTCTTCTATTTCTTTTGCTTTTAGTCCTTTCTATTTAATTTCTTGTATACAACAATTACTGACTTATCACTTATTTAAAACTTCTGTTTATTCTTTACTCAAATACTATGAACCAGACCTCCTCCTTTAGTTGCATAAATTTCTCTTACCTGATGTGCCTTTCACACATTCGAGGTAGGACGTTATATCTAGATCTTGTTTAGAACCCCTCATCCTGTAGGGGTACTGTGGGAGTATTCTGATCTTCTCTCACATGGAGAATGGTATTGTCAACTACAAGGTGAATTCTTCTCCTTTACAGAAACAATATCATATATTTACATGAATCGCACATCTGGACTTTCCACTAGTAGGAGCACAGGACCACGGATTCATTAAACCTATAGTATCATATACCCGCTGAGGTGAAACCAAAAAACCCATACATTATTCAAATAATTTTTAAAAATACAAATTACACTAAGTGAAAACATTGAGAGTTAAAAACAAAATTAATATTTGTAATCCAAAAATAATTTTTTTCAGGAATTTATTTGGTCAAAGAGATGTGCAAAGGGGTAACAAGAGGAGATCAACAAAATTCATGTGTATTATCTTTTGAACCGCAATCCCTAAGTATGGGAAATTTCAATTTAAATGTTGATTCTAGAACTGCTGCGTATGACTTAATTAAAAATAATAATAAATATGAAATATATTTTAAATTAATTATTAATTTTGTAGAAGCATTTCCCTGATGATTCAATCTGTATTACCTGTGGCAATATTCAGTAATTGTAGTTCTACCATAACTATGAAAGGAGGAACTGATGTCAGATTTGCACCTCCAATGGATTATGTTATAAATGTAATACAAATATTAATTGTCTAAAACTAAATTTTAATCAAAATATTACTTATTTCAGGTTTTATTCCCTCTCTATCATAAGTTATTTGGTATTTCTTGTGACATACATATAAACAAGCGGTCAGTATTTATATATTTATTAATATTTAGTCTTTAGATTATGATTTGTATTTAAATTATTTTATTTTATATTGATAATTAAATAGAAATAACATAACTTTATTTATAGAGGATTTTACCCTAGAGGTGGTGGAGATGTAAAATTTACTGTAAACCCTTTGAATTATAATGGTTATTTAAAACCAATTGAAATGATTGATTCTGGCAGTAGTTTTGAGTCTACTATTAGGGGAATTATATTTATAACTGAAAAAGATACAGCTCCAGTAAGTTAAATTTTTAAAATTAAAAATAATAATTTATAACACATTATTTATTACATTATAACTATATTCTAATAATTTTGTTTTGAAAATTAGGTTGTAGGGCAACCTAGATTGAGGGGTAGTCATTCCAAATTTCCACCAACCCCAAGTTTTGAAGTTAGTAATAAATATACATAATTTTTTTTAATCAATAGTATTAGGTGGGCACAAGCCCTTATATATATTTAATATATTTGTGCCTAGTTGTTTTTTGCTTTTAATAGCTGACAGTGTTATATTTATGTTTATTTTACAAAAAATAATTTATTACCTTAATAAATGTACAGATTACAAAAACTTAAACTTTTTTTTAGTTTGCCTATGATATAGGAGTACTTATAAAGAAAAAGTTACGACAATTTAGTTATAATGATGTTAAAATTGAAATTAATGTGGAAAAATCAAATGTTTTTCATGGAAGTGTTGTGTAAGTAAAAACTGTGTATTTACCTTGCTACCTA